TTTATCATAGAGTGCATCAGTTTTACATGTATTACCAAACATTTGTATTCAAATTTTCATTTTGATGATATTTGTGTTAAAATCATTTGAAGTGTTTTTGTTTTATTTTTTATTAGTGAGAGCTATCTTTATTTCCTAGCGCCTTGCTTGGCAACACTTCACTTTTGGCTTGAATGTTGAGCACTCGCCCAGGTGAGGAAGACAATAGGTTCTGTCCCTAGGCCAGGACATACCAAAGTCCTTAAAAATGGTAGTTATTCCCTGCTTAACATTCAACATTTAGGGGAATGGCAACAACTGTTTCACCCATTGTCAGTATAATGTGACCAGACGTGTGCTGTGCTGGGTGCCTTCGGCATTGTATTTCAGTGAAATAGCACTATAAAGTTGGCATCAGATCCATGCTATCACAAGGAGGCAAGCACACCAACATACCCTATCTCTTTCATATACACACACAAGCACACATACACTACACACATGGAGGCATGTCATTAAATGACCTTAGCTGTTAATAGGATGTTAAACAAAATTAAACCAAGCCAAACCAATCTTGATTGATTATAGCTTGATATTGTGAAAACACTATCTTTAAAGCAATTATTGGTTAGTTAACAGAAAATCATGATCAATAAAAAAACTCAATCTATTCCCTACACTAGTCCAATAAACAGGCTGCAGAGTACCACCAGTTTTATTAAGTTTATACATGTTCACACATTGAAGGTTAACCTGTTTATTACTTGACTCAAGACAAATGGGCATGTGCGAGCAAATAACAAATAATAGAACCTAATTCAAACATTTCTCTTATCAGGGGCTTCTCACTCTATTACAATCCTACTAATAAGTCAAATGAATTTTTTTCCTAAAAATTCAAAGAAGCTAGACTCTGATAAGTTACAGAGAAGCTAGATAAAGGAAGTGAGCTAGACTCAAAAGAAAACAAGAGAAATAGCTAGACTCTGAAAGACTCCAGAGAAGCGACTAGACTCCTAATATAATGGAGAAGCTATATTAGACTATGAATTTGAAACACTAGACTCTGAAGAAAGCAGGAGAAGTCACTAGACTATGGAAGACTCCAGAGAAGCAACGTACTAGACCCATAAAATTTACCATGAGCAATTGGCAACACATGAAGTGAAGTACGTCCTATTTAAGATATTGGGGGTAAAATTCCCTAAGAGCTTAAAGCCTTAATGGAACGATACATAACAGTGAGAGCCGTTTTAATGTGACCTTGTGTATCCGGAATAGCTATCTGATATAAATGTTTCCCAGTGACTTTGGGATGACACGTTTTACTATAGCTTTAATAGTTTTTGAGTATTTCTTTCAATGGAAATGTCTCTGCCTGCAACTTAAATTTGAAACTTCCTGCTTGTGGATGGCTGCCCCTTGAATTCTTAGGTAATTGCTCCCTGTAAACCAGCAACAGAGAGTCTTTCAAGGAACCAAAGGGGTAGATCCCTAACAACCAGTCATGGCGACTGCTCCTTGTAAACCAGCAGTGGACGATCTGTCTTTGACCCCAAGGTGCCCTGCTGTCTGTGAACAAGTCATTGGTGGACTTTTTCTCTGTAAACCCCTAGGTACCCACTTCCTGTAAACCTGTCTGTCGTAGATCCCTAGGTAGCTGTTCTATGTAATTTGGCCTTGGATGGACTTGAGTGCCAGCCATCTGTTAGCAATCGTCTCTACAGGGAAAAAATTCAATTTGCTGCTAAAACATTCTCTGGAAATCACATTTCTTTCCGGTTTCTATCATGTGAAACCGAACTCATAGCATACCACTCCACTTCTCGTGTGGGAAGTTTTGTGCCACATGTTTATACCACTAGATGTACTCTGTGTTTTGTGTGAGACTGTTGGATCAGAAGTGTGGGGGGAAATGAATGAGTGAGATATATACATGTATAACACTTCTACAAATGATCAGCAAATTGTTTGGTATGTACAATTCCGCAGTAGGTGAGCTTGTCCCTCATTATTTTACAATTTTCATCTCTTTGATATCATACCGCTATATTATTCAGTGGAGTTTTGTTATTTCTTTCTAGCCAAACAATATTTGTATTTCACCATGAGGGACTTTGTACGAAAACATGTTGGTTTATATTTAGACTCATGTTTAACTTAAAATTCTTATGTGTTTCTCTGTCTTACTGTTGAATAGTATTGCACTTCAATTTTTTTTTTTAAATATTTAATGATTTTAACTATCCGTAACAGTTGGAGGCTGAGAAAGTATGGCCACTGTTTTAAAAAAATTGGCTACTGAAATTCAAACATGGCTACTTTTTTGGCTACTGATTTTTTAGGTCCAGGGGGAGCCCTGCTTACATGCCAACCTGTTTAATTGCATACCCTTTTGTTTGTGTATATGGTGAAAATTAAATATTGGATTTCTTTATAGATTTCTATATAATGGAACCTTGCTAGTCTGGACACTATAGTTTGTGTGTACAGTGGACCCTTGTTAGTCTAGAAACTATAATTTGTGTGTACAATGGACCCTTGTTAGTCTGGACACTATAGTTAGTGGGTGCAGTGGAACCTTGTTAGTCTGGACACTATAGTTTGTGTGTACAGTGGACCCTCGTTGGTTTGGACACTTTAGTTTGTGTGTACAGTGGACCCTTGTTAGTCTGGACACTATGGTTTGTGGGTACAGTGGAACCTTGTTAGTCTGGACACTATAGTTTGTGTGTACAGTGGACCCTTGTTAGTCTGGATACTTTAGTTAGTGGGTACAGGGGACTCTTGTTAGTCTGGACACTATAGTTTGTGTGTACAGTGGACCCTTGTTAGTCTGGATACTTTAGTTAGTGGGTACAGTGGAACCTTGTTAGTCTGGACACTATAGTTTGTGTGTACATTGGACCCTTGTTAGTCTGGATACTTTAGTTAGTGTGTACAATGGAACCTTGTTAGTCTGGTTACTTTAGTTAGTGGGTACAGTGGACCCTTGTTAGTCTGGATACTTTAGTTTGTGTGTACAGTGGACCCTTGTTAGTCTGGACACTGTAGTTTGTGTGTACAGTGGGCCCTTGTTAGTCTGGACACTGTAGTTTGTGTGTACAGTGGAACCTTGTTAGTCTGGTTACTTTAGTTCGTGGGTACAGTGGACCCTTGTTAGTCTGGTTACTTTAGTTAGTGGGAACAGTGGACCCTTGTTAGTCTGGATACTATAGTTTGTGTGTGCAGTGGACCCTTGTTAGTCTGGTTACTTTAGGTAGTGGGTACAGTGGACCCTTGTTAGTCTGGACACTATGGTTTGTGTGTACAGTGGAACCTTGTTAGTCTGGACACTTCAGTTTCAGCTCCAAAACTGAAAGGTATGGTGTTGTCCAGATCATCTGATTTATAGGACAATGATATTTTAGTGGATTTCCAGGTAGAGGACGATTTGTAGCTTGTTTGTTCTTAAAGCTCTATTTTATCCACCACTAGATATTTTTAATGTTTTTTTTTTATGGAGGAACCTTGAAGAGTGATGATATCCTGTTCAGGTTTGATAGGGTTGCAGTTTTACAGGGAGGTAATGGAAGTGCAGATTGATTGTTATCAAGTGTATTATTGATATATCTCGGGCACAAATCTTGCCTCTGGAGTGTTGACTTTATCTTATAATGTAAGTGATGATGTGTTACCTGTAAAATGTACACCTACCCACATCGGTGTGTGTCAGTAAATACAGGTATGTAGTGTGGTATCTGTCACACAGATGTGGCGGTTTATATAGCGTGTGATTCAAGCTATTTCTATAACACATTAGTAGTGTATCAGTAGATATTCATATATCCCGGAGAACATAACTGTACATATCTGGTCAGAATACTGGGGATTTGATGATGCGTGGGATCCTGACTATACCACATACCTTTGGATCGTACCTGAATAGAGGCAAGTCACTAAAGGCAAGTCTGTGAGGTTTGTGAAAAACATCTCACATTATAGTTACATAAGATTATCAGTTCAATTTCTGGAAATGTTTGAACTTTTCATTTTAAGTATAGAATGAAAGTCCCAACATTTCGGCTTCCTGGTCTTCTCCAAGGGCTAAAGTCAACAGTTGTTTAAAGTAACATCCACCTTGCTCCTTCGGAGGTGGAGGAAATGATGTACATCTGTACACATTTTATTTTAGTTTACCATTTTTGAAATTCATTAATTAACAAACTTAACATATATTTCAAATCCTTGTTACACTGCCTGTGTTTGTCCAGTAAATTGTTGGTGTGATTGACTAAAAGCACTTTGTATTATATATTGATGGAGTCGTGTAATGGTTTTGTCAAGGAAAACGAGGAATTTGAAATATATAGTCAAAGGCATATAAAAGTTGTACATATTTTTGATAATTGACAGTTACCTGTACAATAAATGCTATTGACAACTAAAATAACTTGTACAGATTTTCAATGTAATCTTGCTTATTTTGTGTAAAACTCTAGTTAATTTTTGACTCTCTTATTCTGTTTAACCTGAAACAAACATTTAAACTTATGCTAACAAAATTGTTGACAGTCAAGCATACCCTCACTGTGGTATAGATTACTTCTGACTTTATTTTTATCATGTAAACCATTTAGGGTGACACGTTGGTAGTTCTAGGTATGATATATACTTATATACCAGGTAATTGATTTGTGGTTATTTTAACTTGTGTCCTTAAAATATGTATCTGCTGAATACAACTGCCTTTCTGGAAAACGAGTTAAATCAGGATCACAAAATCTTGCTACATTTTAAACATACCCATCATTGTGACTGATATACAATGTATCTCATCCCTTTTTTTCAGCTAGGTAAACTATAGCCATATAACAATATCATCATCTATTTTGTACAAAGTTATACATGATCCCAGTTTATTTGCAGCCATCCATGTAGACAACATATTATATATAATACAATAAATTGTTTTCGTACCTTTAGATATGAAATATTGCTACATATATCATCAATTCATAATTCTGTGTTGTATGTTTCAGACATGGTGTAACAGACATGGCTAGTCGCACTAACTCCACGTCAGACCTGGTGTTCACGGATGGAGAAATGTCACCACGGTTACAGCAACTCTACTCTCCAATGTCAAACTTCTCCATGCAGTCGCAGGAAATACTCAATTCTGTTTTCGACTCCGAATACACGACTCCCAGCAATCAGTACGATGACTATTCACACATTCAGTATACTCCTAACCGGAAGTTATCTGCCCCTGTTGCCCCAGACCCCCCACTGAGGACTTCTAGTGTATCATCATTTATGTCGGATTATTCACATAGGTCCTACACATCAGGCCATGGCAATGGGCATGGTAGTCATGGCAACAATGGACATGGTAACAGTCGCGGTATAAGACATGGCAATGGACATGGCAATAGTGGCGGGGTCACACAGTACTACAAGGGACAAAGCAATCAACAGAATCAGCATCTACACCCACCCTCCCGACGGAAAACATGGACACCTTCCGGATTAAAAATCGGCATGACAGGAAACCTTAGTAATAGTAACAGCACAAGCAATGTCAGAAACTGTCATAGCAATGATCTCCTGGAGAATAACTATGATAGCGTTATTAATGGCCATGTCAGAGGTCAAGGAGATGACACGGAGATAGCGCCACCCAGATTGGCCCCAGTCAGTGGCATGCTTCCCAGGGTAAGTTTATTGTAACAAAACAAATCTCATCGAAAACATTGCTTTTGGTATCGGAAATATCTGAAATCATAGTTACATCCAAAGGTTAAAGAACAAGTTTGAACACACCTCATTTTTGTTAACACTGCGTCAGAATCACTGACAAAAATATTGTTCTTTCTTCTATGGTCCAATAACTTGTCCACAAGTCACAATTTCAAACACCTTTTTTCCTATAAAAAATCAATTTCATCAATTTACAAAATACAAGCTGTTAGCTCAAAAAGTTGTTAAACGTGGCAGGTAAAAAGCTGCTTCATGTAGCATAGTTATGTTTTAGATTTTTAGAAAACAAAAGTTTGAAACAAAATGTTGTAACTACCACTGGAGATATACCTTAATGTCGTCATGAAAAGAAATTCATTAATTTAGATTAAGATTGATTCAAAACTGTACCTGTGGGTATCATGATTGATCGTGATGAAGCTGATATGCTGCAGTAGAGAAACAGACGGATGTATAATTACTTATACTGAGAATACTTATATCATCAATTCATTGATGTATTGAACATCTATAGACTTGTTCTAAAGTATGAGTTTGTTTGAATGATTTAGAAGGGCAAATTACAAATATTGATGATTTATTTTATCAAAGGGTATTTAAAACAAGGTACCTGGTATAACCTGAAATTCTGTGATCATTGCAAATTAATCGTCTTATTAAGTTGTACAGGTGAGAGTGGGGTCAAATGTTACAGGATTACCATATCACCAAGTCAATCAATTAACTCAGGTAGTGGACAGTATTGATACAGACATTTCGTGTCATTGATTCAGGCTCTTGTTTCCCCTTACCATTAAGTAGACTGAGAGACATATTGATCCCAAGTTTCATCTCGGCTCGGTTTTAATTGCCTATCAGCGTCACCAACTAATTCAAGCTAGATTTCACAGATTTTGACCATTTACATCCATTTACATTTCACACAAAAGACATGTGCTGTCTGTGGAATTTTTGCACTTGAACAATGCCGGATAGATTGATCAGTGGCAGCTGATGGCTAGGTATTGATTTTGGCGTTTGTGAATCTGGGGTTTGCTTGGTGAGCAGTTGTTAGCCTCCAATACAGGACATTGTGGATTGTTCGACATAGGCTGTAGCCATTTTTGATGTCCGAGAAGTTTTTTTGGTTTAGCAACACATATTTATATATGTTACCGGAGGTTTGACATGACCCTAAATGTCCAGGTAAGTGATAGTATTTCTGATACTGACCAACCCTATTGATCACAAACATTTGATTGACCTAGAGGGTTGAAGCTGGAACGATTAAAAGATACAGTATATATGCATCATTTAAGTTGATGAATTATCAGGAGGTTTGTACTATCGATAAACCAACACAAAATCTACTGTTTAGATCAAGATACTTTTTGTCGGAGATTTGAAAAACATAAAATTATGTTACGTAAAAAAATCTCAGAAAATTAAAATGTTATGTTTAAAAAAAGGATAATCAACGCTGATAGAAAATTGGAGGTTAACTAGAAATAAAAGCTGTGAAAAGAAAAGTTTTTCATTAAAAGGCTTCAATAATATGTTTGTATATTGCAGACATAAATATGGGGGTTATATTAGAATATTTTATGGATTAAAGAAATATTCTGCAGATTGACACGTGTAATATATTATCTGTTTTGTGGTAGTGTAAACTTTAGTCTCATACCTGGTGTAGACTATCTGATTAATGTGGAATGTCGGCTTTTGATGTACCTGTCTGTGGAAATATGCCATCAATAGCATGAAAGTCAGCCATTTCATTTTAATTTAATCATATTCATGTGTTCAAACTGTTCTGACTTACTTTAAGTGGCAATTATAGGAGGCGTGGTGTCAGGTACGCTGTTTAGCAGACTGCTTTTATACACTGCAATGGTTAAAGCTATGCAAACAATATCTGTATGTTGTTTATCATAGGTTGGTGCGTAATTCTCGTAAAATCGTGTTTTGCCCGTTTTCTGAGTTACCTGGAGGCTTTATGAAGATGAATGCTGTTATTTAGTAGTACATGATGGCATTTAACAGTGCATTCATGTATTGTTATGTCGTTTGAAGATGTGCACTTTCCTACCTTGCACAGGTAATCGGAATTTTGCATGAACTACGTCAGCAGAGTTTATATTAGGTTCCCGTTATATAAATAGTTTGAATACACATTTGCTTTAACACTTTATCAGTATTCTGTACATATGTTTATCATGTAAACAAACAGAACCTTCACTGAGATCCGTGTTGTACTTATTACTTGTTAAACAGACAGTAAATGACGTGTAAGGGGAGATAATTGGGCCCAACATTAGCGATGCAGGTGCCAAACTTTTCTTATGTGATATGTTGGCAGTATGACCTGTGATATATTGGAATCCCGAAAAAAACATGTTCAGTTACACAGTAATATAGGGATTGGATGTTGTACATTCGTTCAATATACCAATCATAACAGCTTGGATGGTGAATTAGTATAAGATTTATGTCTATGTATGTCAGCTTGCCTTTGTCATCGAAACTCAACCTTAAAGCTATGATTTAATTGACAGATGCTTATCCTTTCAAGTTTGGTCCATTCGATCACCGTCTAATCCACTTCTGCAAATCATTTGATTGTGGTGTATTCGATATGACACTGATAACTTGAAAAACTCGTAATTGAAATTAATGACTTACGATGATGATGGTGCAGAATTGTCAGGTATCTATATAATATATGTGTTCACTGATTCTGTATTTAGTTATACCCTATCAGTGTCGCCCGTGACACCCAGTGAATAGGTGAATACGGCCAGAAGACCTATTGTCGGTGGGCCTTTGGGACCTAATGGAGCGTGGGGTCTAGCTCGCTCCACCTACAAAACAACCACAACTATTTACCTTCAGGGTGTCTGGACGGTTCATCATACCTCATGTCCATCTCCAAAATTTCATTTGTACTTTATTATAAAGATATGTCTTCTAGGTATTCAGATTTAGATCCACACAGAAAATATCAATGCATCATCAATTTTGTTTTTGTGAAAGAAATGTTGTAGTATACTAGTAACATATAAGTATGTTCTTTAAGTCAGTTCTAAATCAAATTGTGAAAAGCCTTATCAACTTCTGCATATATTTTCTAAAAGTTGAATTTTCTTCTGTTTATTGTCTTCAAACTACTTTTAACTACAAATACATGCAATGCTGCTTTGAAATTTAAAGATACGGGTGGATTGGTTGAGTGGTTAACATTCCGGCCTTCCACGCAGGTGGCTGGGGTTCGATCCCCTAAGTCGTCATACGCATTGAATATTCAGAGAAAGTGTTTTTCTCCTGACCTCACAACTCCAACAACCCAGGTGGAGTATAAAATGGTTTGGGGTGGAGAAACACTCTCGTAGATATTTATTTGATTTATTAATATAACTGGATGTTGCGGTATCTGACCTGTAGCGTTCAAGTGACGTGGCACTATAAATGATACCGTTGGAAGCACGGTCCTACTACAAACAGACCACATTACATTTCCAGCACACGCGTAGGTGGTATACACACATAGGGAGATATTAGCCAGGTGGCATAGGACTAGTAGTTAGCACCTAATAAGGCAGCTCCTGCAAATTCCTCAAAAATTGTATTGATTAATGTACATGCTAATTGTATTAATTGCATATCTATGTATTGTATAGCACTTAAGAATGGCTTGCCATGCCTTAAATATCAGCTTTCATTTGGTACTACAGGAAAGTCTCAATATTTCACTTGTTATTGTTAATATGAAGTAAATATTTTCTTGTTTTCAAATCATCAATTTGAAAGCAAAAAAGCATCTTGTTAAAAGTTATGTTTAAAGTTGTAAGTTACCATACTGAGATATGTGTCTCTGCCACAAAAGAGTTAATCAACAAAAGAGTTCTTGTCTAGAAAAACCTAACAGATGTTCCAAATCGGAGGATCGTAGTGGTAATATGGATTTTGTTTGTCATTGACAATACTTTGGTACATTTATACAAATATGAATACATCGATTTTGAATTATTTGCAAACGCTGGTAATTCTCAAAGGGAGATAACTCCAACTCAATATGTTAGATGCTTGAAATTGGTTGCATAAAGGAAGTTTAAAAAAAGTTAAAGAGAAATAAAATATAAGGAAGACTTTGCATAAATTTTGTATTGACACTTATATGGATTGTTATATTTTGAAGGAACAGAACTCCAAAACAAAATGTAAGGTACATGTAGTATATTATCCTATTAACAACAATTACAGAGTTGACAAGGCTTTGAGTAATAGATTGTATTGACACTGTTATATTGGCAGGTAGGTCAGCTGATGCCCAGGGATATATTCTGGTGTGAATGCTACAATTACAAGGTATTGATGGTCGGTATTAAAATTACAGTGGCATAAACATTTCATGGAGTGTAATGACCAAATTGTGGTCCAGCGGTTTTTCTGGTGGTCAGAGGGTGTGTTCAGAGTTGTCTGTATTGTAACTGACTGTTGAACTTCTCTCAGGTTGGCTTGTTACATGTCTAGTCTATCTCTGTCTTGTCAACGGGAGGTAGCAAGCATTCTTATAAACTCTGCAGGTTTCAGTTCATTAGAAAAGAATTGCTGTATGCCACTGCATGATTGTGTGAGGTGATTAATTTGGGGACTGTAGAACAGGTTGTCCTGTAATTGGTAACACTACAAAAACTAACACTGATCTAATCCCTCATTTCAAAATTAGGGATCACTATCATTTCTTCACACTGTCTGTATTAACTATACATGTGTATGTTTGTCGAATAAGGGCAGGGGTGTCTCTGTAGGCACCTTTTGATAACCCATTCACCCCTAAAATCACATTTGAACCTTACCAAATCAAAGACTTGGCCAAGTCTATTTTAAAAATGTAGGAGTGAATGATTTAAGATTTTTCACTTTAATAATGTGGTCTTTTTGGAGTGTCCTGCTTCTATGTTTATGTCAGGAATTTT